AGGCCGGGCAGCAGAATATATGGCAAGATCAAAATTGAAAATGCACTCTGACTTGGTGCAATTATCAAATCACAAAGGCTGCAGTTACTTAGACAATAGAATGTACTCCACAAAGAACGAAATAATGTTTTACTGAAAAATGTTGTTGTACCTGTAGATTTAGACTTAAAGGTGCACTGTGTAACTTTTCTGGTAGAAGATCCGTCATCTGTTTGACTCCATGTAGATGTTGTTTTTCCTGGAATGTTTTACAGTATGGAATTTCATATAACTTTCTCCATGGAGACAAGCAGGTCACCTCACCAAGCCAAGTTACAGGTCAGATCTGTGGAGAAGTGGGCCCGCTCACCATAAGAATACATGTGTTTGTTTGTTTTTATTGTAGTTTTTTTTGAGAAATAAAAACACCTGCAAATGAATAAATACAAGATATATTTGTTTAACGCCACACTGCGGAACATCTCAGGCAAAACAATGACATCACTGTGAGATAAGCAGATGGTAGACGCCCCACCACAAAAGGTACACAGTGCATTTAATCCAGTATGTTCAGAAATGCATGCGATTCTTGTATCAATTTACCAGTTCATATTTCAGTCTAGAGTTGTCAAAAGTATTGAAAATCAGATACTAATCAATACTAAGTCTAGTATCAAAACTAGATTCTCATTTGAGCAGGTACTGATACTAAAGAAATCACATTCGAAGGACAGAAATGAAGCTTTCCTTAATAGCTTTAGAATGATCTTGAGCGGTTTCAGAATCACAGATATAAGGCCCTATGGGAATAGAAAATAAACTACTACCATTTAATGTTGAAAATCACATTCTATTATCTAAAGTGCATTTTCTTTTTCACTATTTCAGTCTTCTCTCAAACGTTAATGCTCCTGGACTTATTGAAAATGAAAACTGAGAACAGAATCCAACGATTAAAACATACTGTATATCCAGAGTCTTGTCAGAAAAATCACTTCTTTTCCAAAAGTGTGCAGCTCTACTTTTAACATTGTCGTACGAAAGTGCCAATATTCTGACACCTCCCTCTCCATAAATAGTCCAGTTAATTGCGTTGTTGCATTAAATGAGATTACAGTGAACAGATAAGCTCCAGATTTAGCACTATTGTATCCACTGCTAACCTGGTCCTGTAGTGTAGTCTAGTGTTGTCACGAGACTAACATTTCTAACTCACTTTCAATACTACGCAACAGAATCCATACTCGATACTCGATACTGATACTGATACCGATACCTTTAGACAACAGAATGTGATTTTCAACATTAAAGGTTTTCGTTGGGGGTCTGTCACCTGCTTGTTTCTGTGGATATATCATTGCTCTGCCTGGAATGTTCCACAGTGTGACATTAAACAGTTTTACTTTACATATGGGCCCGGTCAAGCAGAAGTAAACATCAAGGCCAAAAATTCAAGTTAATGCATCTGATATAAAAATGTTTTGAACAGATACATATGTACTCTAGTTTATGAAACTGTTGACCTTTTTTCTGTACCATTTTTGGTTTTGTTTTAAACAGACCATGTATGAAACATGGAACAAAAATTATTTCCCAAATTTCAAAGACCTGCAAATCATGTAAATAAATGGATGTATTTCATCATATCTTGTGTTATTCCATCTTTGAACTGTTGATGAAGGTTCATGATTTTTTTTTTTTTTTTATGTATTTAAAATGATAAAAATTTGCTTGGAAGGACTGACATATTTTATAGAAATAGTTTCCTTTCATTTTGAAGTAATATTAAAGTATTCAGAAGAAAAAAGTTGACAAATGATGTAAAATCCTGCACCTTCTACTTGGTTGCACAATTTTCCCTCCGTTACTTTTCCCTCCGTTACCATGACCTTTCTTAATAAAAAATCTCATGAGTCAAAAAGTAAGAGGTTTTTCAACCTAATTTTGTACCATATGGTAGAAAACTATATGAAGCAAATATTCAAACCAGTTTGTTAAGGATATGTAAGTGAGAACCAAGAGTTATCACTGTTTGGATTTATTGCCCAAAAAGTGCTGCATATTTCATTCCCTCTGTTACCGACATGAGTTTTTTACTTTTTGTCAACAACTTGAAAGAATATCACAGGTTTAACTTTACCCTGTTGGAGTGTTAACTCTTTCTTACATTCTGATACTTTACTTATTTCAATAGTCCCTCTAGTTTCTGAATAAGAGACATTTGAATGTCAAAAATCTGCCCCTGTTTCCCTCCGTTACCACTTGACCGGACCCTTATATTCAAATACATGTGGTTTTATAGCTCATAAATACAAAGAAAAACAGGCATTCTGACTCTGAGCGGGGTCGCCTCTCCACAGATCTGACCTGTAATTTAGTCTGGTTTGGTCTCCATGAAGATAGCTCCATATTGTGGAACATTCCAGGCAGAGAAATAACATCTACATGAAGAAAAGCATTTGACGGACCCTCCAGAAGACCAGAAAAGTTACACAATGCACTTATAAGTCATAGTACTTTCTTTTCTATTCCATGTGTGTTATATGTGTGTAATCCTCAGTGGTCCAATAGGTTCATAGTGTCAATGTGTGTGTACTAGTCTATGTGGTCTTATAATTGTTCTGATACAACTCAACATCATTCTAAAGACATTCAGGAAAGGTTCATTTTAGTATCGATACCTGCTCAAATGAGTATTTAGTTTCGATACTGGTTTTAGTATCGATTAACATCTGATTTTCGGTACTTTTGACAACTCTTGTGTGGTTAGTGGGACTTTCACTTTGGTGGGACATGGCTAAACGCAGTAAAACTGTCTATAACCTGGAGTCCTCTAGTTAAGCTGTCAATCACAAGAGCGGAGTATAGAACTATAGACCTGTCCGACAAGTCCGCACAGCTCTGCTCACACAAAGAAGGTTACATGTGAAGAAAACTATTTTATCAGTTGAAATAACTGTAAAGGAAATCCTGCTTCTAAATCCTGATACTCATCAATACTAAAACCAGTATTGAAACTAGTTACTTATTTGAGCAGGTATCGATATTTAAAAAGTCCCATTCACAGACAGAAATGAATGTTTCCTGAATGTCTTTAGAATGATGTTGAGCTGTATCAGAACAAGTGTCAGCGCACATAGACTAGTACACACACAGACCAACATGAACCTACTGCACCACTGACCATCACACACATATAACACACATGGGAATAGAAAATAAAATATTAATTAATGTTGAAAATCACATTCTAGTATCTAAAGAGTGAACAGTGTTGTGGAGTAACAGATTACATGTACCAGTTACGTAATCAGTATAAATTATGAGTTAACTGTATTCAGTTACAGTTACTGTTTCAGTGAGTGGTAATTAGATTACAGTTACTTTGTTGAAATAAATGGACTACACGGCAGTATTTTCCTGTTTTCACATTTGGGACTATATCCCTTTTTCTTTTCTTTTTTTCTTTTTTTTTCTCAGTAATTCCACTCATTGCCGGACACTAAACCAGGTCTAAAACCAGGTCTAAACTAGGTCTAAACTAGGTCTAAACTAGGTCTAAACTAGGTCTAAACTAGGTCTAAACCAGGACTAAACCAGGACTAAAACCAGGACTAAAACCAGGTCTAAACCAGGACTAAATCAGGAATAAACCAGTTCTAAACCAGTTCTAAACCATGTCTAAAACCGGATTTAACAGGACTAAACCATGCTGTGTGGACCGAGCCTCTTCTATTAATAATATTTTTAATACGGTTAAGTAAAGACATGGCCCTTTCATTGTCTTTTATCAGATAAAACATCTTATGTGAAGATTTCCTCGTCTTTGCTTCTCTACAGCAAATCAAGTAATCCAAAGTATTCAGATTACGTTACTCACTTTAAGTAATTTAATGGATTACGTTACAAACTACATTTTGGGGTATGTAATCTGTAATCTGTAGGGGAATACATTTTAAAAGTAATCTTCCCAACACTGGCTATCAATTCCATAGTAGTGAAATACTATACTGGTTAATACTAGTTTTAAACTTTTTTTTATGGTATCATGACAGTATCACAAATGACAATACTTCATTTGCTCCCTGATATAAAAAAAATCGTCCGTTTTCATTTCACACACTAGATCACACTGACAGACACACACTTCTGCTGCTGTGCCTGAAGTGGCCAGCGCCCAGTCAGATCCCTGGATAAACAGAGACTTCAACAACAAAGACAGGATTAATTAGAGAACTAGACAGAGACAGCAAATATGCTGATGGTCAACCTGAACCAACACGGCTTAAACTGTCCACAGACCAACCCACGAATAAGACCCAAGACCAAAGACCTGGAGAGGTTCAGGAAACACAGCAAGCTCATCAGTCACTACAGATTATTACACTGTAATAACACTGTAATAACTGTGAAAAGAAAGACTGTGGAATTAATACATTGTTGTGTCCTTGAGCAAGATACTCATATGGTCTTTGTACATGGTTAAACCTATATGAACTGTCTAGGCCTGATTAAAAAAAAAAAAAAAAAAAAAAGAGAGAGAGAGTTCCTTAGAATAAAGGGAGTTAAAATGCATGAAAACAAACAGTTTGATAAAGGCAGTGTAATTCTGTAATAAAGTTGGAGTAAATGAGCCCATCAGCAGCGGCAGTAGGAGCGGCAGTAGGAGCGGCAGTCCGCGGAGCCGTGACACGGACTGTGACTCTGGCCCTGTTGGATTAGCGCGCGCAGAGGAGCGACTGTCCAAACCAAAAGTGCTCCGCCGCGGCGCACGGAGCGTCAGGAGCACGCACGCCCCTTTGCCTCCACACAGAGCCGTCTATGAACGGGACCCGAGCCTCCGCGGAGCCGTGTCCGTGTGTGTGTCCGCCGTGAGCTGTCACAGAGCGGCCAGAAGGCTCCTCCAGCTGGCAGGAAGACTCGTTTGTTATTGTTTACCTCCTCCTCCTCCTCCTCCTCGGTGGAGCCTGTCATGTCGGAGGAGCTGCACTGGGCTAAGCTCGTGCTGTGGCGGGACTCACCCTGGCTTGGCGCGTGATGCTCAGGTCCTTCATGACCTCCTCGAAGGCGGCCGTCTCCTCCGCCTGCTTCTGCGTGTGCAGCGCGATTTTCTCGCTGAATTTCCGCGGATTGTTCGAAGTCGCCATGTTTCGCCGCTCTGCTCGGGTTTGCTTCAGTGGACGCTGTCAAGGCGCGCGCTTCACGCACGCTTCACTTCCGGTTTGAGAAATGTTTGCAAAGTAGAGCTATATTTTTACTTAATGTTTTTATTATGCTGCAATTCAGGTGATTCCCACATGTGCCTCATATTGTAGGCAACATTTAACCTTGGATTAAACAATAATCAGATGTTATGTGTGTGTAGGTGTGTTTGGTTTGTATTTGCACAGTAAATTTATTATTTTAGGCAACACTTTTTTCACATTTCTTTGAGCAATTTATTTTAGATAAACAATATGCAAACATAAAGCATTTATGATTAGACTTATTTTGTCTTACCCATTTTTCCACAACCTTAATCACAGCATATTTTATTTTGAAAAGCAGACAGGCTGTTCCGGTGTGTGTGTGAGCTGCTTGACCAGAGCGGTGCGTGTTCACGACGATGCGCGGGCGTGAGGTGGAGGCGCACATCTGGACTGCAACAACCGCATTCAACTTGTGTCCAGGATCATCTCCTCCACCAACACTGAACCACCCTCCACTACAGCACGCCCGCTGGGTGCGCTTGGTTTAGTCTCCATAAAACTTGAATTAGTCCAGATGAGAGTGTCTGAAGTGTCGAAAATCTGAAAGTTATCGATACTAAAACTAGTATCAAAACTAGATACTAAATTGAGGCGGTATCGATAGAATAGAATAGAATAGAAAAGAAAGTACTATAATTTAATGCTGAAAATCACATTCTATCACTTAAATAAAATGTGTTTTTATTATCATCGTGGTATCAGAATCAGTATTGAGTTTCGAGTCTATTTTTAGTATCGGAATAGAGTTTTAAATTTTAGTTCCTTGACAAGACTAGTCTGAGTATGATTGTGTCATATAAAAATAAGTTCTGTTAAATATCACTAAACATCCTTTTTTTTTTTTTTTTTTTTTTTTTTTTTTTTTTTTTATTTATTTATTTATTTTAAATGTTTTGATTTTCCAGTTCACTGCTCTCTCATCTGAGCTTGGCCCAACCCAGCCAATAGGTGGAGCTGTGGAGCCATACATGGCAGCAGCAGAAAGACTGGTTTTCACTGAGACCAGGCCTTAACACAGTGTGGGTGACATGTGTTCAGTTAATCTTTATCTTCTATTATATCTGCAGAATAGGCCTATACTTCCTCTATTGAAATCAGTGGACTGAGGATTACCATGGCAACAAACCACAACTTAAAGTGCATATGTGGCTGTTTAGACTACCCATTTCACTTAAATGACTTAACATTATTATATTCAAGATATTACTTAAAATTTTGCCTAGTTTTATATAATTTGCTCATTTCCGTGCTGTTTATAATTTGACTTCCTGGTTGGACACGGGCAGCAGGTTTGACATGTGGAGGTTCCAGTTCTGTTACCTAGCAACCATAATGACAACAAAGGCCAAAACCTGTCTAAATGTTCACAATAGATATTATTAGACTAATAAAAATAAATTACAACACCTTTACAACACCTTTTTGTGTGAAATGAATATTTTAAGGTCCTATATCCTCCAAATGCTCTGTTCCTCCTTATGATGTCATGGAGTGTTATGTTTCAACACCTTTACCTTTAATTTTGTAGCAATTAGCAATTCCAGGGCCAAATGATTCTAGTGAAGTTGTATAGCATTTAAAAACACAGTGGAGCACTTCCTGTATTACCACATGACATCACAAGGTGGAACCGAGGGTTTTTGTTTGAGAGGAGAACTCAGCCAAAGTCTGCAGGATCTGTGTGTTGAATGAAACTAAACACAAGTACAGTTCTGTTTGTGATGAGGAAACATAACAGATCTGAAAATCGTCTGACTGAACCTGCATTTTGGATGGAATTTTCTGTGTTGATGACCTAGAGAGTGTCAAACTTAAATTCACAGAAGGACAAAATTAAAAACTGGGACTAAGTCGTGGGCCAAACTAAATATTTATTGAAAAATTTCAACAACATCTGCATGTTTTCTCTTCTTTTGAGATATGTAATGTTAAACCTTTTCTTATTAAAATAAATGTGCAATAATAGTTTTGCTTTAATATTGAATCCAGAACAAATATAATATACAATAATAACAACATTTTAAATAAATAATGTCTCTGTAGTCGATCTGTAGCCGGCGGGCAGCTCTAATACAGATTTGATATGATCTCGTGGGTCAAATTTTTTATTTCTTATTTCTTATTTTATTTATTTGTAAAGGGACAGTACATATTAATGAACATTAAAAATGTAAATATGTAAAGATTATAGCCAACGTGGCTCATTTCCATCTTCAGTCCCTCGGCAGGTTCATGTAAAATCATGTATGGGACGAGGAAAAGTACAGCAACAATCACACAAAAGTACACAACACCAGCACACTCACTATACACACAATTAATTTCAAACAGTTCATTTGAAGTTCAAAGTCAGAAGTTTAAGAATTAAGTCAAGAGTTAAACCAACAACCCCTCAAAATAAAAGAAAATATAAATTGGTTAAACATGGAGACATAGCTGACCATTGAGTAACCACAGTTTTAAAGCTTTAGAAAATGCTGCCAATGTTGAAAGTTCTCGTACATGAGCAGGCGCTGTATTCCATGTTTGAGCAGCTCGATAAGCAAAAGAGAGTTGTCCAAAGGTACTTTTCCTAAATGGCATAGAGCAGTCGCCTCTAGAGCCTGATCTTGTTGTGCGATTTGAATTTCTTTTCACAAACTCCTTTAGAGGAGGTGGAGCAAGATTATTATAAACTTTGTAAACCAAAATTAAATCTGCATATTTGATATGCAGATTTAATTACATCATAATCATCATAATTACATCATAATCATCGAACACAACAGACACTCATAATGCTTTCACTCAAATATCAAATAGGTCAAAAACTGTCAAATTAACTATTTACAGGTAAAGCTCAAACAGTTGTAGTACGTTGTGTTAAAGGGCACATATTGCAACTTTTTCTCATCCCTTAACCCAAATTTGACCCCTGGGCCTGAGTCTGACATGTCTGACTTAGAGGTATTTTGAATAAGAGCTCAGCACTACTTCTTGTATCTTTTTTTTCTTATTTCCACAAACTGCCACTTAACTAATGTAAAACTATAATAATATTAACACAAGCACTTTCCCACAAAACCAAGAAATTATTTTTAAAAAGCCTGAAAACATGTCATATGCTGTTTAATTCAAGTAGAAGAAAAATCACTCATCATGCTAAATAATGGGATAATATTGTGTTGTGATTAATGCTGCATTGTGTAACTTTTCAGTTGTGGGTCTATCACCTTCTTGTTTCTATAGAGATGCCATTGCTCTGCTTAGAATGTTCCACAGTGTGACATTAAACAGCAATACCTTACATTTATGCAATTACAGATGATGAAAAACAGGCATTCTGACTGTGAGCGGGCTCGCCTCTTTGTAGATCTGACCTGTAACTAAAGGTTTACTGCCACACTGTAGAAAGTGAGTCAAAGCTGCACACTTACTCCCACAATGTATTTAATGAATGACAATGTTTGGATGAGTGGATCTTCATCAGGTCATGGTTCTCTGTGTGTGCCACTCCCATAAAAACCTTCTGCCCACTGACTGTCCAATCCAAAAGTGACTCACAGGAGATGTCCACTCACACACATACAGCCCCTCCATCCTCTGGCTCCTGATGTTATCCTGATGCATTCAGGGCTTCGGTTTTATGCTCCGGTACAAAAGACTAACCGGTTCTCAAATTCTTTTTGGGGGGGGGGGGGGGGGGGGGAGAGAAGTGAGAACTGCTCTGACATGCTGCTAATGAATTGCCCTATGGGATCAATAAAGTTTTCTGAATCTGAATCTGAATATATAACACAATATACACAACACAATATACACAACACAAAATAGAACACAATATACACTGTACCTCATATACATGAACCATCAATCATATGTTCTCACTGGGCAAGTCAATTACATTAGAAATAAATATAAGATTGTAAAAAGTGTTTAATTTCATATTCTTGATTCAGGCCACTACACCACAAAAACTGGAAGGTTAAAATTTCAGGGTAAATTATTTCAGAGTTGTTTTTAATACAAAAAAATTTATTTAACTATTTAAAAATTAAATGGGGGTTGGAGTTGGGGTTATTTACCAGAGTTGATATGAAGCTGAAGTTAATTCAACTTCCCTTAGTGTTATTTTAACTTCCCTTAGTGTTATTTTAACTTTCCATAGTGTTAATTTGGCTCCTCCCACCCACCACTTCAAACTCCCATGAGAGAAGACCAGTTTGAACCAGCTTTGTACATAATTTCATCTTAAATTAACTCTTAAATAAAAATGAAAATATAAAACACCTCTGTGTGTTGTTCAGCTAAATCAGGCGAACCCTTAATATAACTCTTAATTTCAGGGTTAAACAGGAACTTTGGTCCAGTGTTACTTCATTAACATTTACAAAAATGTTAAATTAACTCAAGAACAGACTGGACTCATATAAACCCTGAGAAAATGTTAATGTCAATTTTAACACTCCACTTTTTGCTGTGATGGACAAGCAGTTTTTAAGCACTAAATATAAAAACTTTGCAGGAGCAGCCTGTTCATATCCTCTCCTCTTTTGGGAGCTTCATCTGCTCTATCCCAGTGTATTTAAGGGAGGAGATGGAGCCGTGCTTCTTTAAAATGGGCAGCTACAGGGTTTCTTAGGTCTCCGTTTCTAATGTTGCTCCTGTGTTCAGTTTTTTATGCTTTAGATGTTATAGAAGGTTTCTATGGGAGTGACACACGGAGAGAATCATGACCTGACCAAGATCCACTCATCGATGTCATCCAAACATTGTCATTCATTAAATGCATAGTGAGAGTAAGTGTGCAGCTTTGACTCACTTTCTGTGTTCACTGTAGTAGCCTTGCTCCAGTGATGTGTGTGTGTGTATACATATACTGTTTATGATTAATGCCACACTGTGCCACAATTCGGGCAAAGCAATAATATGTATCTCCAT